TGGGCAGCTTTCTGAGAAGCTTCTCGGGCTGGATGCTCACATCTCATGGTGCAAAGGAGCCACGAGGGACGCGAGTTGGGCGGTTTCTGGCCCGTTCTGCTGTGATCTGCATATGAAATAAGACACTGCAGGCAGCTCGTAGTTAAAGCTTTACTTTAAAATTCCCAGTAAAAGTACTTGTCTGTTCATTTTTGGAGTTATTTCAAGTCAATCCATGAGTAGGTGGATAATTCTGCTGTAATGGTGTGTGTTTAAAATAGTGATTGCTGGTTTTTAATATTCAGAATTCTTTCAATCTGAGCAGCTGGATTGGCTGCCAGCCTCCAAAGCTGACTTGACCCAGCAACAAGAAGTTTCCACAGAATATACTGAATTCTAAAAATAAAGTATATTAAATAGAATGTCACAGGTATTGGCAAGTTAAAATAGATGTGTGGCAACTCTTTTCTCTCTAGGACCTGGGATCTATGATGGAAATAGTCTGTCATTTCATAATGTCGTGCATGCTGTTTTCAGGCTCAGGTTAATCATCACTGTATAAGAGTGCATGTCAAATCTTATTTTTCATCCTATCTACAGAGGATAAGCTTCTAATAAGCTCCGATCCTCCAGCCACATCCATACAGCAGCACTTTCCCGGGTTGCCCTGCCTATATCCCAGGTCATTTTCCACAAGGTTTCAGTTTCAGCACTTACATGCAAGCAATAGGGCATTTTTGTCCCATGGATACGAGGTGTTTCATACAGAGATGCCCAGCATTTCTGCATGTAAAGCAAGATCAGATTACACGCATTTTAGCTGTAAATGAATATTTATTTTTGGCTGTCTAGTTTTAAAATATATTATTTTTAAGCAGAGGGCACCTCCCAAATGCAAAGTCACTGTTGGCTGACTTTGTGACTTCATTTTTGGACACTCATAAGCCATTAAAGACTTAAACTGCTATGATTTTTTTTCTATAAAGACCAAGGATCTAGATAACAGCATAAGTAATCTACGTGCTTCTGCAGACTGAGCTGTAGTAAAGCAATATGTTGTTTTTATTTGAAGTTAGCACTTCACATGTTTATATTGAAGTTTCATTTTGTTCGAGCTTAAGCAGTATCCATCTGCTAGCATAACCTGTGAAACAAACACGCTTTCCAGAGTAGAACTGAAGGACTTGGAGAACACTGCAAGAATGCTTTAAAACATCTTCACTGAGTTTGTCCTTGCACTCCAGTTTCTCAAACACACTCTATCTCAAGAAAGTCTTCCAAGCTGCATAACACTGTCTGCCCAGCTCCGAAGGTGTAGTGCATCTTCCTTCTTGAGCAGGAAATTCTTAATTGCTTTATCTGGAGCTGCTGTGGTTGAGCATCAAAACTCCAAGGAGATAAGAAACTGGGACACCTAGGAAGTGTGCTGTAAACACTTACACTGATAGGATCAGTTGTTTAGGTGTTGTTTTGTGTGTGTGTGTGTTTTTTTAAACATGGCCTTTCCATAGGTGGCTGGAGGGATGGTAGTTCTGGTAGTCAGAACCTGGGATCCTGCTCCCTGTGCCCAAGAGGTTCAAACCCACATCTCCCCCACCTCCACAGTTGCTGCTTGGACTGAAGGAGCTGAGTGGGAGGCAAATTGCTGCTGCAGTGGTTAGCCTGGGCCATTGCTTGGAAGGTGCTACAAGCTGCCACAGACTGAAGAGGGGAGAACTAGCAGGAACCCAGCTCTTGCAGCACTTGGTATGCTGCCCTTGGTGTAGCTTTACAGGAAGAGTGCTAGCCTCTGTCACCTCTTAGGCAGGTATTTAATCCTGTCATACTGACCTCATCCACAGATTAGGGTGGCTACAACCTGGCCTGTAACTGTGTTGAAAGTCATCTTCTGCAGTCTTTAGCAAAGGGAGAAACACAAAGATATAAGGTTATATCTTCACAAGGTCTTTACACTTCAGTCTTTAAGGCAAAAACCAGAGAATCATTAAGGTTGGAAAAGACCTCTAAGATAATCTAGTCCAACTATCAACCCATCCCCACCATGCCACTAACCACATCCCTCAGTGCCACATCTACATGTCTCTTGATCACCTCCAGGGACAGTGACTCCACCACCTCTCTGGGCAGCCTGTTCCAATGCCTCGCCACTTTTATAGAGAAGACATTTTTCCTGATATCCAACCTGAACCTTCCCTGGTGCAACTTAAGGCCATTCCCTCTCATCATTTTGCTGTTATGTGGAAGAGGCTGATCCCCACCTCGCCACTTGTGCTTCAGACCCCCCCACAGCTTTGTTGCCCTTTTCTGAACGCACTCCAGAGCCTCAATGTCTTTCTTGTAGTGAGGGACTCAAAACTGAACACAATACTCAAAGTGTGGCCTCACCAATGTTGAATACAGAGGGATGATCACTTCCTTGCTCCTGCAAGCTGTGCTATTTCTGGTATAAGCCAGGATGCCATTGGCACTTCTTGGCCACTTTGGCACACTGCTGGTTTATGTTCTCCTGGCTGTCAATGAACACTACCAGATCCTTCTTGTCATCTGACAAGAAGGGGTAAATTCCTCATTCTGTGATATTTCAGATGCTTTGTTTTGTTAGCACTGTATTTCTTTGCTTTAGAGAAGGAAAGCACCTGGCTGTTGGGGGAGGTGTGGACAAGAAAGATTGGTGTCTACATTTATTTCAAAGTTCCTTTATTCAAAGAGACACCGTGTCTTACTGTTGGCAGTCTCACTTGAAACTGTGAGGATGACTGGCAACCTGCTAGTGCTAACTGCCTTGCCAGATCCTATAGCAAAATATTGCCACTGTGAGAGTTTTGTAACTTTATAGACCATTATATTTCTCTTGGAGAAAAGTAAATCAGAGGGTTATCGGCTTCTGACACTTCATGATGTGCTGCTTAAAAGGAGGGAGGTCTCAGCTGAGAAACAAGCACTGCCAGCTGCTTTACTGCTGCCTGCTCTTCTGGTTCTTAGGATCATTTCTCCTTCAGTGGTACTTCTCCATCTCTTGTTTATTGTAGTGAAAAACCAAGGATGAAAAACTGCTTCACTGTGTTTTTAAATGCAAAATATTTTGTAACAGGCTTCAGACAAAGGAATGCTTTGCCTTTGATTCTGGATTCAATGTTGGTAACATTGTAGGTACATCAGAATGGATTTATAGTGTCCTTGCAAATATGACTGCAAATATGACCTCATATCTCAGCACTGATCTACTGTAGAATTGAAGTCACTTCCAAGTATTTATCTGTATCATGTAGGATGCAAAATCTGTTATCTAAATCTCAGCAAACTGTGTGCCAGCATTTTAGGTATTGTACCTTTTCTGTTTGCTGCTAAAAGATGACACCAGTTGGGCACAGTTCTTATTTTCATGAAGCTACCTTTCACCTAGCTTGGCATCGTTAACATTTGAAATGATAATTTAAATGAGAAGCTGTGTTTGGGAGACTTGTGAGCTTTGTTGTTCTGTGATGCTGTTGTACTAGAGTGACATTTCTGAATTCCAACAGGAAGATGTGCTGAAGGGGAAGTGCTGCTAAGGGCTACACGTGTTAGATCATGCAGTTACTTGGGTCAGAAGGAACCCTGGGACGTGTCAAGTGCAACTACCTTCTGAAAACAGAGTCAGCACTGAGTTCAGGCAAGCTTGCTCAGGGCTCTCTGGCTGGATTTTGAAAACCTCCAGAGACAGAATCCACAGCAAAAAGCCTGACTTCTTGGTAACGGTCTCCAACAGAGGCTGCCTTTGGGACCCCCTGAAATCAGAGGCTAAACCCCCTAGGGCAAGCGCTGCAGCCACTGACCATTCTTGATCTTCCATTCCCTGTGTAGTTTCTGCTTAAGTGCAGGAATGTTGCACATACGTATTTAAATGCTGGTGTACGGAGTCTGCAGTAGTGTAAGAGAACAACTGTGTATTTAGACTGCGATAGTCATAGTTGAGTCTTCTTTAGTGCCATCTTAGTGTTAGGTATATGAACTGGGATCACTGTCATGCCCTTAAATATGTTTCATACTAAGTTCAGTAAATGAAGGACTGAGCATTCAGAAAATAAATACTTAAGTGCTCTGGAATTTCTAGTTTGTGTGTTTTGCTTTAAAATTTGAAGGAACATGGAATTGGAGGTGATTTTTAAAAATGGCTTTTATATGGGCTCTAACCATACCTTGCAAAAGGAACATGCATTAAGTCTAGGTGTTTGGAAAGGTACTGAAAGCTTCTAAATGGAGAAATTTTAGAGTAGTTCAGAAATAAGAGCTACCAGGCAAAAACACCCAGGCCATCAAAAGCCCTAAGAGAAGCACAGCAAGAACCTGTGCTTCCTTGCCACAAAGTAGCAGCGGTGTGCCTTGATTATATTTCAAATGTTTTCTGTTTGCCTTGGAATCTCTGGGTCTAACAGCTCTTTTCTATCCTTCTGTGTTCAGAGCCCTTATTGGAAACATATGGGGTTTCTCTACAAGGAGACCACAAAGCTGGCCATTAGTAGCATCCCTTGAAAAATCATGTGATACTTGGATCAGTGACAGAGAAAATGAGCAATTACATGGCTCTGTCAGGAGAGCGTGCCTGATGTGCTCAGAAATTGTCAAACCTCTTAGTATAAAGTGTTTGTGCTGAGAACAAATGGTGCTATTTCTGATGATGTTTTGTATCTTCTGCATGTGTACACACATATTATATGTAACTCCAAAAGCATGCGCTAAATAGATTGCTTTAACTTCACTTTTCTTCAGAATTTTTTGGAGGTCGACTGCCTTCTTGGTGCTCTTTTCATGTTAACTAATATGTTACGTGGTGGATGAATAGGATTCTTTATAGAATTATCTAAAACGAGGCACTGATTTATTTGAAAACAAAGGGTTTCTTTAGAGCTGAGTTTAAGCTGGCATTGCCATGAATCCTAGAATTATTCTACATTTAAATGAGAGAACAGTGATGCACTTGTACTTGTGCCTTGAGCAGCACAGAGCTGTTGACCAGACTTAGAGGCTGCTGAGCGAATCTTTCTAGGTTCATTTGCTGAAGTTTCCAAGTCTGCTCTTCTCTTCTTAAGCTGATAATGAAAAGCAAAGGTAAAAAGATACAATATCTTGCACTAACCAGTTTATATAGAAGTATGCAAGTCGCTCTGTGGTGTGCTTTAAAAAAATCCTTAGAATCCCAAGTGATCTGTAGCAATTTGAATGTGTACTTTTTCTCTGTTTTGCTTTGGGGTGTGTGGGATGTAGTGTATAGCAGCTAAACAATACCTCACTTGTTTACAGAAAAGCTTGGGAAGGAGCAGTGTGAAAGAAGAAAATATTTACAATAGTTTTCTACCCAATTAAAACCAGAAGGCAGACTGAAAAGGAGCGAGCTCATCTACCACCCACACCAATTAAAAGTAAGTTTTGCTGCCTGGATTTTAATTTACACATCCAAGGCAATGTAAATATAAAATAGAAGCTTGACTTAGCCTTACCAATTCAGAAGACCTTCAGATTTATGATCCACTTGGTTTTGGTTATGGCATCTGAGTGTTTAAACACATTTTATGTGAATTGACAAAGGCTATTAGAAACTCATGAGCAGCTTTAAAATGCTGCACTTGTGGAGTACTTCACCAGAATGTGTAATTGATGCCTGTCCTGCAAGTGTAGCTCTGCAACATGTGCTGGCTGGGATCCTCGCTTAAGATACTCTCATGTCGGATACCCTCAGCCCTTCTTCCTGTTTAATAGTCTGGGAATAAAACCAGAATTCTGTTGCTTCTGTCAAATATTCAAAAGTATCTAGAATTTCTGCATAAACATTTTAATTGTTGACATTGAGGTTGTTTTTTTCCCATGTTTCATGTGTGTTTGTTTCTGAAGAACTAAAATAGAGGTGGAAGAAGGAATGGCATGGCACTTGCAGGGTTTTACTCAGAAATAAGAGAGCAAACTTGTCAACACGTGCAAAACTCAGTTTGATGTTTTATGTAGGAGCATCACTTGAAATGGCCTGAAAGAAATATTATCATCAACCACCCAGTCAAAGTTATGATAATTATACAGGCAATCATGCTGTATGTGAAGGGCAGAGGTTAAGAAACCAAGCAGTCTTTGATAAGGAATCTGTACATGCTGTGTATTTCCACAGGTGTGCTGGCAGCCCCTTTGCTACAGAGGGACTGCCTAGTAAGGCACAGAGGCTGGCCTTATGCCTCTGAAAATAGAGCTGCTTTTCAATGGCAGTTGCACGCTCTCAGACATATGCACAATTTTACCCTTGGGGGGGGGGGGAAAAGTTGCATCATGTTAACAAGAAATTAGGAACCAGCAATGAGAAACTGGAACATGATTTGTCATGGGGACTGCTTTATGACTTGGGAGCTGGAAGAGATTGATGGCTTGGCTGTTTGGCTTTTTGCTTTTTTGCTTTATTTGTGCAATTTTATACAAGTCAGAAAGCCCCAAGACATAGGGCTTCATTTATTTGCTGGGGGGGTGGGGTGAGAAAGCAGCTCTGTGATTGATTGCTGCAGTTTGTACGCACGCCTACCGAAGACATGCATGTGTCACATTAGGTGTCAGCGGTCAATATGCAGTCCTGAATCACTGCCTGGTGCCTGAGCTGTTGATGGTGTCCCTCTGGCATGCGTGTTGCTGCAGGGAACTTACACCTACCTGGTGGCTGAGACAAGTCGTGCCATTCTGGAATGCAATAGTTGATCTGTCCTGCTTTGCTCTCTGTGCCGCCCAGATGCTGTTGCTGGTCCCAACACTCACAGTTTGGCATAGGGCAAACCTCCATGGTTCATAGAACATTACTTCCAGCTGTACTTTGAAGTCTCAAGAGACCATCTAAAATGTCTGTGCCCCAAAGGAAAAAACTGTCTTTTATTAAGTGTTTGCCTCAGCTGTTTTTAAAGGTCTTGTGGAATCTCTTCCAGTGCCTCGCTACCCTTCCTTGCTTGCTTGTTGTGATAGATTTGTTTTTCTGTTTTTGTTTGTAATGTTCTTGCCTCCCCTCCTCCAGCATCTAATCTGAACCTTTACTGTGCTCATTTTAAACCCATCAGGACTGGTCCTATCCATGCTTGACTGAGGAAGAGACTATTCCCTTCTTGTAGCAGTATTCTAAAATAGCAGCCATCCCTTGTGTGGTTTTCCCCTGTCCTAACAACCAGCTTGTCCAGGATCCCACCCCAGCCGTAGTTCCTATTTTACACTGCTTTGCATTCACACTACTGTTCTCTAGACCCTGTCTGGTGGGTCCACAGCTCTCCTAGGTATTCAGATAGCAACAGAGATAGGTAGGTAGAAAGATATTTTTCAGTTCAGCTGATAATGCTCTGGCATTGCACTCCCAACACTTTTTTTGGTATCTTGTAACAATATTTGCCTTTCTTAGAACAACCTGGTGTTTGTCTCCTGTGATCCACTGTAGCCTACAGCTGTATTGCTTCTCATCTTGTCTGTATTTGATGTTTCCTGCCTGAGGGAAGTATCTTGTATGTGACATTTCACTCTGTCCTTCCAAATTACTACTGTATCCTGACATTTGTATATTTAACCTTTGTTTCTCACATCCTAAACGATTAATTCTCCCTGCATCTGTAGTTTGATTGTTAAAATACCTCCAGGCAGTTTTGAAACCTTACTCAAAGGAAAGATGTGACATCTGTGCTTTCTCTTCTACCTATCTGGAAGGCCTGTCAAATGCAGTTAGCAGCGTGATTTAGAAAATCTCTTTTGGCTGCTCGTTAAGCTTAAGGTGCTGCTAATTCATTTGTTCTGGGTATTTTTTTTCCTGGGAATTTGACATTAAACTGACTTATTGGTCCTGTAATTTCATTTTAACAAAGATGGGTGATATGTTTGCCCTTTTCCAGTTTTTTGATATATTACATTACTTACCTTTCACGAGTGACCTGTGACTAAGCTACATCCTAGAAGGAAATTCATCAGGCAGGCAATTTGTGAATCTCTAATTTCCCTAATATTCTTACCTGTTTGTTGTTGTTGTTGTTTTGTTTACTTGTTTGTTTTCTCCATTGTACACATATATGTGCACACACTCCTTTGAGATGCAGGGCCGCAAGGTTTCTCTTGTTCTTAAGGTAAAAATATATGGACAATAAGGATTATTTATTGCTACTTTTTTTTTTTTTTCTTTTTCAATTTGCATTAACTGTGTCATTAACTGTGCTGATTTTTTGTAGTTACGTGCTCATGCAAATTTAACACTTATTGCTAGCAATTTGACCAGGTTTCCACACCCTGCGTCTGCCCTGAGCTCCTCAGAGATCCCCAAACACAAGACCTAGACAAAGAACTCTTCTACTACAACTTCTTTTGTTTGTTTTTATAGGGCACAAGGTCAGATTGTCCTGTTCTATTGTTCCTTTGAGGAAACTGCTGCTTTTTTCTCTCTTTTAATAATTTCTTTTGACAGGTATACTAAGTTAAGTGTGTTAACTTAGACAACTTAGTTAACAAACTAAGTTTGTCTTCATTATATTAATGAGCTCCTTCCCTTGCCTTCCATTTCATGAGTTTTAGTCAGTTTATCTTCTGAACTGGTTGATCTCCATTTGCCTAGAAGCAAATCTATAGATCTGCTTTCTGTATTTCCTGCATTTTTTTTTATCTTAAAAATGGCTAATTTTGAAATAAAGAAGGTCTCAGTCTAAAGCACAAGAGAGCTTCACACCAATTCCAAGGCCTTTGTTTCTGATACCACACAAATATAATCACGTGTTATTAGATTCCCACTGTAGCCTTTCCTGTTCTGTTTTCAACTTGTTAAATGTTTGATTGCTCAATTTGATATTCCAGGTAGCTGGTGCTGCCAGACCCTTTAAAAAAGCCACATCACTGTTCAAACTGAATAGCCCTACTTACATAAGTAGCTGGTTCCTGCAGTGCTTCACACCCTGCAGGCCACAGTCCCATGCTGTCCATCACTATTCTTCAATAGCAGTAGATTTACTGAAGTGGGAAACATCACTTCGAAAATGGGATAAAGAGTGTGTGAGCTTTCAGAAGGACTGTTACTGTGTGTCCGCAACTCTAGCCAGCAATCCACACCCATCCGTGGTAGGATCAGGTTGCCTTCTGCACACTGATTGTCCCACCAAGCAGGGATGCTGCATCTAAGCTCCTCAAACCATGGATTTAGGCACAAGATTTAGCCCTATTGCTTCTTCCAAGAATGGTAGGCAGAATTTTTAACGAAACCACATCATTGGAGTCAACAGTTCTGTGACTTGAGTGGCTTAGGAGTTTAAGTGCTTTCCACTGCTGTTTTCAGAAGGGAATGCAGTACTGCATCCAGAAAGAGACAAAACGCTTCTATGGTCCACCCTCAGTAAGAGCAGTGATAGTTGGAGCTTACTGCTGACTTTCTGGAAAGCCAGTGAGTGAAAAAGGCCAGCATGAGTATTCCCACCCCACTAGGGGGAGTCCATCCAGGCAGCCTTTCCTTTGACTTGAAGTATTAGCATAAGGGGATGCATTTGACCTGAGTCCTAAGAGCTTGGAATGAAGAGATTTTGAAAATGCAAGGGGTTCTTAGGTAGTCCATTGAGCACGATTAAAAGGGTGTGAACTAAAATACGTAGGTATAAATTTGTTTGGATGTCTTTGTCATGGACAGCCACTGCATGACACCCACATTATGCTGTTGTGTTGTATGAGATAATAAAGGTGATCTCTTTCCTAAAGAACTGTACTCTGGCATTTCTTCCTTGCTGGTGAGACAAGTTACAGCTGCAGTGTCAGAGGGATCCGCTTCTATTAACATCTCCAGCCAAATAAGACAGAGATTTGGATATTTTTCGCACCCCTTCACATCATGCACCTAAATGGAGATTTAAAAGCTTTAGCAAACGAATCCCCTAAGCATACTGATGCACGCCTCTGAACACTCATAAGGAGCTGCAGTATCACTGGCAGTGGTGAGTGAGTGGTCTCTCCAGAATCTGTATGTGAACTGACCGTTCTACTGTTGCTCAGCTGGTACACAAATGAGCTATCAATGCTGGGCTGGGGTGCTTTCAGAAGAAAGTAGGACATGCAGTTCTTTGATTGAAATGGACCGGTTGGGATTTTCTTTTCCTAGCTCAATAAAAAGGCAGCCTTTAGCAAATAATCTTACTCCGCTGTGGCGTAATGACTAGGATCTCATGGGATTAGAAAGGCACAAGGTCTTTCCCTCGTTCTACTGGAAAACCTTCTCATGTGCTTTGGTAGAATCTTCTAGTGTGCGTTGCAGGTACTTTTTAATGCTATTCCCATGGTTTACCACTGTAGTAGTTCTTAATTTTATTGTTCATTGGAATCTGAACAGGCTTGGCCAAGAAGATGGTTCTACAGGCAAAGAAAATGCTGCTTAGTCTATTTATCAGGATCCAGAGCT